CTGGTTCTTTTCCCAGTTCTTTCTGCCCCAGGGGCGCTACTTGTCACATTCTCTCCAGAGGTGCCTGTTACTCTGTCTTCCGACAGCCACCAAAACCTGTGGGCATCACTGCCTCTCCCTCCTCCTCCATCCAGGGAGGCACAAGCTGTCAGAGAAACTTGGAACCATCCTGAAGTCATCTGAGGTCACCATTGCTTCCTAGAGTCACTCAGAACCCAGGCTTTTCTTCCAGTTAGAGGGTCACACTTCCTGGGCCAGGTTCTTCAGGTCTTGCTGTGGCCCTGAATCATTTGTTTACAATCAGTGTTCTTCATGGAAAAATGTATCCTCTGCCAGTGTGATTTAATTATAGCACAAGAGGAAAGCTCTCACAAAATTAAACTGACTAAAAGCCAAAGGCAGAAAGATTTTTGTTAAGTAGAAATTACAGTACCTTGGGATTTGAACATAGGGCAAAATTTATTTACTTTTTTCTCCTTTAAAGCGAATATACAAGAGATAGGGTTGTGGCTCAGTAGTAGAGCACTTGCCTTKTAAGTGTGAGGCACTGGGTTCGATTCCTAGCACCTCATATAAATAAGCAAATGAAGTAAAGGTCAATCAACAACTAAAAAAAAATTTTTTTTTAATGAATATACAGGGCTGGGGCTGGGGCTCAGTGGTAGAGCGCTCACCTAGCACATGTGAGGCACTGGGTTCGATCCTCAGCACCACATAAAAATGAAATAAAGATATTGTGTGTCCACCTACAAGTGAAAAATAGATATTTAAAAGAAATTAACATACAGGGGCCAGGGTCGTGGCTCAGTAGCAGAGCGCTTGCTTTTCAAGTTATAAAAGTAAGTAATGAATGCTTATTAGAGAAATTGAGGAAATAAAAGCTTAAAAGTCACTCTGCATTTGTTAGACATACACGAGTTTTTTCTCTATGATGATGTCATCATTTGTCTAAATTGTATTGAACAAATTACCCGTGGGTTGGTTTTTTTCCTTAAATCATTCACTGTGACTTTGAAGATGCACTTTACCGGGGGTTCCAGGTTTTGAAGTTTGAGGCCATATAAACATTGTTTTTATATTAAAAATATCTTATGCAAGGAACTTGCTCCTTGTTTAGAGAACCSTGGTGTGGTGGTCAGGTGCACAAGGGGCGGGGTCCACCTTCCTGGATTCAGCTCTCCTGTTACTGGTTGTAACCTGGGCTCGCTACTTCACCTCTCTGCTCACTTTCTTCACCAGTCAAGTAGCTGTTTCGGAGGGTTGTTGGAAAGGTAAAGTACTGAAATGCCTGGTGGTGCCGAGCCAGGGCCCATCACCACCCCCACCTGGCATGGCCAGTTGGCATGGCTCTGATTTACTTGCTTTACATTAGACCCACATAGCCCGCATCGCTGGCATCTGCCTGAGTGTTTGTGGTAGGCTGCGGCTTCGTCATCATCCTGGTCGTCTGCGCCTCCTAGTGCGAAGCCTGGGAGAAGTGCTCAGTCTGCAGGAAGTGCCCTGGAGCGCGTGTGGTTCACAGCTCAGAAGGCTGACCCGTCAGTGAGGTCGTGGAGAACTCCTGGGAAGAAATAGTTCCTTCTCCACACCCAACCCCAGAGCAGCATAAAATCTAGGTGAAATCAAAGCAATAGCAAACTAGAAGAAAATCTACTTAAATACTCTTCAAATCCTAGAACAAAGACTTGTCTACGTGTGACCCTAAACCTATACATAGTCCTAACCTATTTAAAAAGTGCCACCAGCAGCCAGGCGGGGTGGCATGCCTGATCCCAGCTGCTTGGAGCTGAGGCAGGACGGTTCCGCGGGCAGTCTAGCCAGCTGTCTCCAGGTGAGCACACCTGGCTGGGAAGTAGCTCAGTGGTGGAGCCTTGCCTCGTGTCAGGCCTGGGTTCGTTCCCAGCACAGCCACTCTCCCTGTTAAGACAGCCATGCCTCTTACCTGAGAAGCCCCTGTGAATGTGTCCATAGTGGAGAGGTGGCCTGCAGTCTCTCGGTGGCCCTCCTGGCGGGGTGTAGATCTGCTGGTGAGGCCTTGACTTCACCACCCTGCCAGCGCAGGTGGCATCAGCCTGTCCTGCTGTGTGGTCCAGCCTGGGCTGGGGCGGTAGCAGGTCTTCCGTCTGCCCTACTRGGAGTTGTCTTGGTTAAATAAACTGATCTGTTGCTTGGTGACCCAGGATCACTGCCTGTGAGGGGTGGGGCACTCGAAGGCAAGGAGCTTGGTAGGTCTCTGGGAGAACTGCAGCTTGGTAGAGGAAGGGGTRCGCCTGCCCCATGCTTGTCTCTGAGCCCTCCTCTCCCATCTGCACTTCAGCTTTTCAGTGGGGCCTTAGCACAGAAAGGACCAGGGCTGGCGGGGGGGAGAGGTCCTGCAGGGCTGGCCTGGAGTTCTCCCACCCAGGGGCGTCTGGTTCTGCACCTTGTTGAGTCAAAGACATTGACCAGAGAAGGATGTGACCATCATGAGTGAGGGCATACGAGACCAGCCCCCAGGCTTCCTTCCAGGTACGGGAAGGATCAGAGGCAGGACCTGTGCACACTAAGTGCCCAGTTCACCCCAAGCCACCCCAGCCTTGACGACATGATCCTGGTGTCACCCTCCTGCTACGCCAACCCCTTCCCTGCTAAACATCCCTGTACGGTGGCTCCACGTGCCCACCAGAGCTCACCCTCTGCCCACACACTTCAGCCATCTTTTAATTTATTATTTTGAGACAAGGTCTCACCAAGTTCCCCAGACTGGCCCCAAACTCTTGATTCTCCTGCCAGCCTCCTAAGTGGCGCTCTTCTCCCTTTGGAGGGGGGCAGGGGCTGAGCATGCTGGGCACATGGTTTGCCACTGAGCAGTGTCCCCAGCCTGGAATGGGCCTTGCATACTGAGTAGCCTCTGCCTGGTAGACTGAGGCCAACAGCACTGCACACTGCCTGCCGCCCTGGGCTGAAGAGGTGTCCCCAGCCCACACCGTGTCTGTAGGCAATTAGTGCATCAATCACCCGGTGAGATTTGGGTTATTACTGTGCTTTAGCAGTGGCAGCAGCGATCATTGAAGTGCTAGAACTCATGCTGGGGAGAATATTTGGACTGAAATTTTGCATATTTTGAAACTCAGGTTGTTACATTTAAAATTATACACATTGTGAGTACCTGGCTTCAAACGAGAGGGAGGGAAGAGCGCTCCTTCCTGTCAGAACCCCTTCACTCTGTCTGTCATGTAACCTGACTAAAAATAAACTACAAGCACAAGAGGTGGCAGCTTCAGCTGGGAGCAGGGCGCRTGCTCCGCCGCAGGGCCTGTCTGCGCTCCCAGCCACGCCTGGGCCTTCGCAGCCGGACCTCCGCAGGGACAGAGGGTGTCGGGTGCAGACAGATGAAGCAGGTGGGGAGTGCTCAGAAGCTCTTGGCCCAGTGCTCGCGGCCCTGCTTGGCCGTGATCTGCCTGCCGGTCAGAAGCCAGCACTTGCCTGCTTAGTCCTCTTAGACCTTGCGAGCTCCGTCCTCAGTGTCCCCGCTCTTCTGATGACGGAACTGAGGTGCAGAGCCTGGGCCCCTTGTCCCCTGTCCTGCTCTCCTCCACTCCGCAGTCACTGGCTCCTGCCCCGCTCCCTCACTGCAGCAGCCCCTCCAAACCACCGAGGACTCCCCACCTCAGAGCCTGGTCATTGCCGCTCTTGGGCCTGCAAGGCCAGCCTGGTGGGAAGAGCGTACATGGGCTCTGCATCCAGGTCAGCCTCTGGGTCTGCTGACTGTTGGTCTTCACAGATTCCCCTCCTTGAGTCTTCCTGTCCTCACCTGAGAAGTGAGGGGAACAGTGTCCTTGCCATGGAGTGAGACTGTGGGAGGGGACGTGCACAGCAGGGAGTACTTGCTGCCCATCTCCTCTTTGCTGGCCCCTCAGCATTGCCTCCTGATCACACCTGGCCCCAGGCCTTCTCCCAGCACAGGTGGCCGCCTCCTCCCCCATGTCGCAGTGAAGAGCAGCACCTGCAGGGTGGGCACCAGCACACTCACCACACCACCCGTCCTGCATCAGGTTAATAGTGTAGTGTTGGTCTTGTTTCAAATTCTTGGGTTTCAGGGGAATCCTGTTTAATAATCCAGTTTATTTTGACCACAATTTCAATCAATTTCATCCTCTGATTATTACAGCAAACAAAACAGTGGCACGTGTCAGCTGCCCTTGGTGAGTGCCATGGACACGCTGTCAGGACACTGCTCGGCCTGGCTGCTGGTGCAGGCTCAGGGGCACGTTGCTCTTGTTCTGTAGGAAGCACTCTGCTCTGCAGTTTTCATAACCATTCTTCTGTGTGTCGTTGAACTTCCACAGATTTCCTCCTCTGCTCTGATCAGCTGTGAGACTGCTGTCTTGAGCACAGTTCAGCATCTGAAATGGCTTTCGGCTGTTAGTGTGGATTAGGACTTACCCCTCTGGGAAGGCTCCACACAGGTGCTGGCCAGGCTGCACCCTGAGCCCACCCTCTCAAGGTTAGAAACGATTTTAAGAATCTTCTGGCAGCAGTGGACATCCGTGATTGACACCCGCCTTCCTATTGGACCCAGCAGGACGGGTGGGCCTGGCAAGTTCCTGTCCTAGAGGGCCTGGTGTCAAGGTCACTAGAACACCCACAGGTCTCATGGCTTCGTGTTGTTGGGTCTTCTGGTAGGTTTTCTGATCCTTTGGCAGACTGCTATATCACACGCCTCATTTACCATCAGAGTTTGAGGATGTAGAGGTTTTTTTTTTTTTCCTCATAAAAACAACACAGAACAAAGCCTCACTTTTAAAAATGCCATGATATTTTGCACCATTATGAAAATCTGTCAGCGCCGTATCTAATCTTCCGGTGCATAGAATATCAAAACAAGCACATTGAAGGGATTGCACTTCTATTAATACAGAAATGTCAGCTTCCGTCTCAGGGCCAGCTGCGCCAGCCTCTTTCCAAACAGGAGGAAAGCATACTAAAGTTTCTTTCCCTCTGCTGTCCCTGTCTTCCAGGCCCGGCCTTCGCAAGAAGACCCAGAGCACACACCATCTCGCCCAGGTCCTGCACTCTGAATATGCAAGTGGCCTGGAGGCTTCGAGAGGAGGCCAGAAGGCGAAGCCATCAGGAAACCTGTAGCCAAGGGAAAACAGAACTACCCTGGAGCCAGAAAACCCGGAGACAACTGAGGACAGCAGCACTTCCTCTCCTCCCTGGGACTAGGCCTCCAAGTGGCTCTGAGGCCTGTTCTCATCAGAGGAGGCACCTCTCCCTGGACACCCAGACCCCAGGACTCAGACGTCAGGGCCAGCCCTGACCCCTTGGCAGAGGAGCCATGATGGAGTGAGTGGGGAGGGGCAGCCAGCAGGTCCGCTAGCCAGGTGACGGCAGAAGAGAGGTCTTACAGGTGCTCCTCAGTGCCGGACGCCCAGCACCAGCACGGTCTGCAGTGATGGCACCCTCCCCTCGCCCACCCCGTGGCCTTGTCCAAAGAAGCTTCACAGCTTGACCTCTGCCCCGCCCTAACCCTAACCTCTGCCCTGCCCATGCTGGTGTTGGCATGAATGATGTGAAATGGTTAAAAACTGGACTTGAGTTTGTACAAAAAAGTATTTGTCAAGTAATTATTTTCTTTATGTTCAAATGCTTTTTTTAATGAAGAACCATAAAGTCTGAGTCAAAATACAAACAATGGCGGRCCTTCTGCCCCTCCTCTGTCGCCACAGCGTCGCCCGGTGTGTGGACTTCCTTCCTGCGCAGGGAAAACTCACTCGGAGGCTGGCCGGCTCTCTGTTGCCTTGTTATTACTTGCCTTTCAAGTCAAAAGGCCTGGGCTTTTCTTCCCATCAAATCCCATCTTGCCTTCAAGAAAGGTTTGGGGTCTTTGTCTTGTGACCCAGACCTTAGCTGCCCCCCACTATTGTGTCTCTGGGAGGTTTGAAAGAGGACCCCTGGAGCGTATTGATTTCCCAATAAATGTAAGATCTGGACATGAGAGGGCTTCACAGGAGACAGCCCTGGAGCCAGGCCCCACTCAGGCCTCCGCCTGTTCCTTGCGCTTGCTCTGCACTGTGGCCCGACCCTCCGTGGCTTTCCCAGGACAGAGTGAGGCAGCACTTCAGTGACCCCGCAGCTCCAGGAGAACTGGGAGAGGGTGGCAAGAAGGGCCCCTCACCACCTCCTGGCTGGTCGCAGCGGTAGGTGTGTTTCACATGGTTTGGACAAGAACAGGAGGAACCAGCTTTTCAGGGCTGAGACCCAGCTGTGAGAACAGGATGCCACGTGTGGTCCGGACCACCAGTGTGAGCCCCCAGCACACCTTCTGTCCAGGGGGACTTGCAGAGTCTTTCAGTCCTCCGGAAGCACTGTCAGAACTTCTCAAACTGTGCTGACTTTAATTCGAATATCTAATTCACTAAGTATCAGGTGAGGGTGCCTCACTAGAGATGTTGTGTTGTGTGCTTCTAAATAAAATCAACATACTACCACCCTCTTAATAAAGAAACATGGATTTAGCAGGTTTAGGGTTAATATTCTCTAAATTCAAATAACCCTAAGATAAATCTCTAATTATGGCTCCTGGCAGATCATACATTTCAGGCATCAATTAGGCAAAGAGTTACCCTAATTCCACTGCACAAGTTCTAATTTTGTGTGTATTTTTAATTGTGCCTCTTTTTCTAATTTCCCAAACTTACCCATTTATGACTTAAGCCTGGTTGCCATGTTAGAGTCAGAGAATTTGGACATTTACTGTAATGCTGTGACCTTAAAACTTTTCTCCCTGTGGGCTGGCAGAAGAAGGCGTTTTTGGAATCCAGAACATCTCCCTGTTTGCAGCGCTAGTCGCAGCCCACCTTCTGAAGGCCCCGTTCCCATGCACTGAAGGGCACATAGTCCTTGGTGAGCGACTAAGCCTGCAGATGCAATGCAAGCAGGCTACTGAAGGCTGGCAGAGGACAGTGGACAAAGCCCAGTGGGCTCCTTTGATTTTTTTCATTTCCCTCACTCCAGGGGAAAGGAGGGGAGATGGTGGGAGAAAGGGGCCTAGACAGGGCCTCCCGAGGCAGGTCTCAGTTCAGCACACCAGCAGGAGGGACCGCTCACCCCTCTTACCTGTTCCTCCACTGGGGAGCCAGGGCAGGGCCCATAGGGGTAGGCAGTTTAGATTCTCTGGCAATCCCCAAACCGCCAGAGGGCCAGTGGGCATCTAAACTGCCAGCTGTCGCCCTGCCCTGTTGCTCCAGGGTCCCCGGGAGAGGCTCTGGTGGAAGGCAGGAAAGGCAACTTCTCACGACCCCCTGTTGTTCCCTCTGCTGGGGGTCCTCCCCCACCTTTAAATGAAGGCTTACCCACCCCCAGGGCTGGGAACAGGGAAGCCAGTTTGGCCTTCTAAATGGAGGAAAGCAGAAGCCCACCTTACAGCTAAGGTTGTGAGGTTATTATTACAGATGGGAAATGCAGGACAATTTAAGATATTGTAATTATAAACTTGTAGGGAAGCCTTGTTCTTCATTAATGTAAGATATGAAATCGCCTCTGAGGTACAAGGACAATTACATAGTTGAGAACGTGTCTGTGATTTACACTGCGGCTGTGTAAATGTAAGGGTGGTTGCTCCAGTCTGCCTCCTCCACTTCCACAAAATGAAAAGCACACCGGTGCAAGTTGTCCTTTGATAGATTTTTAATATGATTTTAAAGAGTTTTGTTTGGTCTCATTCTTATTCAATGAGATTAATTTAAAGCACTTATCCCCTGGGTTTAAGTCAATCCATGTAGGATTTGGGCAGGGTTTGTTGCATGGGGGGTTTTGTTTGCAGGAGGCTATGAGAGACTCCTTTCCCACTTCATTAACCCTGAGTTGGGGACAGTCCCCCCTCACCCCCCACCAAAGCCAGAGCTGGGGATTTACCAGCCCCCATTCACATGCAAAAGAACTTGAAAGCCGAGGGGCTCCTTGACTTAATTAGCTGCTGTGCATTTTGCAAAATTAGAATAATACCCTCACCATCCCAGGAAAGAAAGACCAGGGTGTGTGGGGGCTGGGGCCAGGGAGGAAACTGTAACAGGCCCGAGTCTGGTTTGTGGGGTTATAGTCTGAACACGCCCCTCATCTCCCCATCTCTCAGTCCTCCCCCCGMAATCCTACCAGCAAAGGGGTGGTGGGCAGAGTGCTTTTGGCTCCCTAGGCACCCAAACTTCCCAGCCTTGGCCATTTTGCTGCTTGGAGAGGAGCACCTGTGCCCCCTTCCTCAGAGGAAGGTCTCAGGGGGTGACCTTGGCCCTTTGAACGTGATCTAGAGGCCTGTAGTCTGGCTGAGGACTCAAGCCCCCTCCCTCCCCTGGGATCCTGGAGCCACAGGCCAGGGTGGTGGGAAGGGACAGGCCTGGGTTAGACACTGGGATTTGACTCCCGTCTGGGTCTCATTCTAACTTACTCCCAGGGTGAAGGGGGCAGTGGAGGATGAGAAAGGGGTTTACCGATGAGATGTCAGCTTCGTGGATACCGCCCGATGGGCTCTACCGGGCACTTGAGGCCAGGGAGCCGCCTTGGCGCCCGCAAGCGTCAGAGCCGGGGTCGCCGGGCAGAGGAGGGTGGGATGATGAGGTAGCAGCTTCGGAGTCCATCTGTCGGCCCCACGCCCGGCGGGCCGGTCACCAGCTGCCGGCGCCCTTGCCGCGGCCAGATGAGTTGGCTCAGCCAGGGCACCGCAGCCCGCAGCCCGGCCTGCAGCCGAGAGGGAGGCCGGGCGCTGACCCCCGCCGCCGCCGGCCCCGCGCCTCCCGGTCCCCAGGACGGGCTGGGAACAGATGGAGAGGAAGGGGGGCGGAGAGCAACGGACTTGCCTCATTATAGAGATGGGAAGACTGAGGTCGCTGGGGGAGACCCCTGCCCAAGCCCCGCGAGTCCAGTCACGGTCCCCGGTACACGACCACAGCGCCAGGGGAGAGAAGGGGGGGAAACCGCTTCCCTTTGGAGGACGGGAGGGACAGGGAGGCAAACGGTTCTCGCCAAGGAATGGGAGAGGGCCTCAGCGCGGGCCGACGGACGGGAGCGCGGACAGGCGCCAGGTCGTTTGTAAGAAGTTTATTGCGACATTTAAAAAAGAGAACCCAAGAGGCCTGGCTGACCCGGGGACCGGGCTGGAGGTGGAGGCGGGGCCGGGGCGGCGGGCGAGCCCTCGGCCTCCCTGCCCCACCCAGAGGGGAGGGCACAGGCCACAGAYTCACTGATTCACGGACACGGTCACGGGCTCATGGGTCACGAATAAATAACTTCATATACACTTTGCACACGGTATGTACAGCGCAGCCGCGGCCTGGGCGCCGCAGCCGGAGCGGGTGGAGCTCCGCGCGCCGCTGCCCGGCCGAGCCCGCAGGGGCGCGGGGAGACGGTCCCCGGCGAGCAGGGAAGGGCAGAGGGAGGGGGCGAGGCAGGGGGTCACCCCCGCCCGCTCCTGGGGGCGGGAACGGGGCGCCTGGAGGAGCGGGCAGAGCGGGAGGGCTGGAGGCGGGCGGTGGCGCGGACGTACTTCGGTGGGTGGAAGTGGGGCGGCCGGAGAGACGACCCCGAGGGGGTAGGGAGCCGCAGTTGGGTCCGGGCCTCAGTGGACTTGGCATTTGACCCTTCGGGGACACTGGGTGGGGCGCCGCGGAGAGCCAGGCAGCCCCCGCCCCGGGGCGTCGAGGAGCSAGCGCCCGAAGAGGCGGGCGAAAGGGACGGACGCCGAGCGTGGCCCGAGGCCAGGGAGCGCGGCCGGGGGCGGGCGGGCGCCTCACCGAGGCTGCGCGGCGCGCGGGAGGACGCCGGCCAGCGGGGGCAGCGGCGGGGGTGGCTCGCTGGCGCCCTGGAGTCCGTGGATGAGGATGCGGGGCACCAGAGGTCTCTGGAGGGCCGGAGGCGGCGCGCTGGGGCCGCGGTACAAATAGAGCGCGGCACCAGGGTCCAGGTTGGAAACCAGACTCTGCGGGTAGAAATAAGGCGACGGGAACATCCGCTGGAGCGCTGAGTAATTGCCCGCCTCTGCCAGCAGCTCCAGCCCGACGGCGGTCTGTCGCTTCCATTTAGTCCTGGAGACCGAAATAAACGCGTACCGAGGGGTCAGGACGAGAGCGCCGCCCACCCCAGCCCCTTCCGAATGCTTGGCCCAGAGAGCCTGCAGGGAGGCCAGAGGCACCATTTGTTAATAAACAACGGAGCACCGGACACTGTTCACATGCATTACAGGCATCATTTCGTTTAATCTTTCACTGGTCTTCCAAGGCTGTTATCCCTATTTTGCAGATTAAAAAACTGAGGTGTGGTTTTTGTGGTGGTCTGAGAAGGGCAAAGCCCATGTTTTAAGCCAGGCTATTCCACCCAAAACTGGGCCATAACCTCGCCTGCCTCATTCTGCCCAGGCCATCACAACCCTTGGAGCTCCAGGCTGGGGCTCTCCCCCCCCCCCATCATATGTGTCCCTTGGGAGGACCTTATGAAGTCAGATCACTCAGGAGACAGCAGCAGAGGCAGTGGAGGTCTGGCCACCACTGGAAGCAAGCCCCATGAGTTAAACCTCCACTGTAAGGTGGCTGGCCCAACATACACCATCATCGGCTCTGCAAATTGCCACACCTCCATATGCATACCATCCCTGAACACCCAGGTTTGAGGCTGGGGGCTAACTCTGCATCCAGTAAGGCCCTGAAGTTGGGAGGTCACTGGACTGGGCAAGCTATGGACCTGGGTAGTTTAGAAAATTCAGACTGGGAGCCCAGGGCTCACCTGCAGGTGAGGCTGGGGAGATCAGTCGGGGTTCCACTGAGGTGGGCTCAGCCACACCAGCTCATCTCCCTCCCTAAATTATTCATCATCATCATAATTGTGTAATTACTGCA